TTGGAGCCGTTTGGATTGGTTGTTGGTAGAGAAAGGTACGTTGGACTGAGCCTGAAAAACCACCGTTTGAAGATCCTTTTGAGAGAGCTTCCGCAACAATTGGTCGTGTTTCCAACTTAAAACACATACCATACCTGCTCCATGTACTCACTGGGGCTAAGGTCAAAAACACCCAAGTAGAAGCAAATATTTAACAGTAAACAATCAAGAGCAAATACACATGCGATGACGATATACTATAGGATAACACACACAGATCTTTTCAGAAACACGTTCACATAGAACCATAGATTAACACCAAGTTAATCAAACCACGGTCAACCACATATGCAACACATGCATAAATGACCCTAAGAAAAGATCTCACCACACTTATCCTATCCCATTCCGTGTTGCTTACACCTCGAGAACACATATCTCCTCTCATCGCCCACCACGCTCACTAGACAGATCACTCAACTCATGTCTAACTGGTGAGTCACAATAGATCCTAAGTCCACGGGATAATCCTCTATCTCCACATCACTTCTCCCAACCTACGTGGATAATGGGTCTCCACCTAACAGAAGTGATAGAAGTGTCTCTCTTACACTCCACCTGATCAGGGTCTCTTTCCAGATAAAGGATCCTAGACATTTGATCACATTTCCACTCGTGATCCAAATGTCACACTCTATATCCCTCGGTACAAACCACCATGTACCCTTAGGCATCTATACTCCACCTCACCAAAAGACATCCAACTCATTGCTAATGCATCTCAAACTCACTATGGCAAAACAACACCTTTCGGTGACCACAAAGGTTAATCCACTCACCAATGCTCCCAAAAAATTCACAAAGAAAATAGTGAAGGTGGCACTCTCAAAGAGAATCGAAGAAAGAGTCGGTTACTTCACAACACTCACAAAGGAGGCTCACAAAGAGGAAGAATATAACCCTAACATGGCTGCCTCACATAATCTCACAAACCACACAGGCTCACAAAGATAAAGGAGAGAAACGGCTGCCCAACTTTCTTCTCACTACCACACTCGCACACCACTCACAGAGCAAATAGAGTATGCCACAAAACTTAACACACTATGCATGTAAACATATTACACAAAGTAATAAGTCACTCTAATTCATGCAATTACACATATCAAACATATTGAAAGTGTAAAATCAACATCGCAACAGAATTAAGTGACCACATACATGCAGAAAGGATTACACATAGATGCAATGCAAAAACCAGGTTTATTCTCTCAATAAACCTCACTAGGATCACTACTCGACCCTAAAATCATATTCGCCTTGTCTCTATCCTCATCTTTCCTTTTATTATCATCCTTTCACCACAGTTAAAATATATATTATTTTTCGCATTTGTCTTAAACCTATACATGCCAACAATACCAAATAATGACCACAAGCAAAGTACTGACACATAATTCACACAGAACAGTCAAGTAAATTTTCCTAAGGTCACATGCAATTCTATCGGTGTAGAAAAAATTGGTGACAAATTCACATAGAATTTTAAGATAATTAACATGTAATTTCTAGGTCTAACAACAAGCAATGGTTACCCCAAACCTAACGTCATCCCACACGATGACTTTTAATGCGAAAAATAAATAATTAACCTACACATTAATTTTAACTGCAATAATAAAAAGTAAAGAACACGATACCGAGCGGACCACGTCTGAAGGTCGGTAAATATCGAGAGACGCGAATTCATCACTTTAGGACTATCACTATTCGTCCTAAACTCTGGAAACTGCAGCAACCATAAAATCACGATCGAGTCCCGAACGCCCGAAGAACAACGCTGTCCAGATTCTACTGTGTACCCTGAAACAGAAAACTTCCAACACGAAAAATGCCAGAAATAATATGAGGAACAAACTGCCTGAAGAGACCGTCTCCAAATTCAGCCTCACGCGCCCTCACGCGCGGTCTCTCTTCTCTGCGCGTGGGCTTCACGCGCCTCCACACGCGCCGCCGTCTCCGGACACGCGCCGGTCTGAAGGGTTCACCTCCTCCTGCACGTCACGCCAGTGGTCTCCGTTTCCCCAAACTCGTTCTGGATTGGTCAAAAAACACCAAAAATAGAGACTGATTTTTAACAGTTTTCTGTACAGTTTTTCGATCTGATTTCTGCCTCGTTTCTGCCGATTTTTTGGACGATTTCTGGTAGATTTCTCGAGCCAAAACCTTCACCTTGAAGCTCTGATACCAATTGTTGCGGAAGCTCTCTCAAAAGATCTTCAAACGGTGGTTTTTCAGGCTCAGTCCAACGTACCTTTCTCTACCAACAACCAATCCAAACGGCTCCAAACCACAACCAATTGATTCACCTTGGTTGCTATACAATCTTACCCACGTAGGACAAGAAAAGGATGATGATTTATCGCCACAAAGGCTAGGAGAAGACACCACAAAGGTATACTATGAAAGAACCACCAATTGTACACGTTATACAAGCGTTCTGGACACTTCTGGACACCTTTTTCTCACACAAAAGGGGGGCAGCCGGGATTCACTAGTTTCTTCTCTCAAAATCACATAGAGGCTAGGGTTATATTCATATATATACTCTAGGGTTAGGCTTTAAGTTGGGCCATTAAAGGGGTAAATGGGCCAAGATTCAAGCCATCCATAAGGAATACAATTGGGCCGGGTGTAGCTCATGGACCTGGTTGTTGGACTTATTTTATTCATCGGCCTATGCCTATGAAATAATATTAACCCACGTTAACATCATAGCCCGGGATTTATTGGGTATCAAAAACCCAACAAAGTCAAAATCAACAATTAATTTGCATCACATATTTCATTGAACCCTCAACTTTTCAACCACAAATTTCAACATTTATCAAAATCTACTAAAAATCTAATTTTGATCTCTACCAAATTGGGATTTTATATTATGGTCTAGCTTGTTGCTTGAGTTGATAGCTCTTTTGGCCAAGAAGGGGTTCATTAAAACACCCTTCATTGCTGCTTGAGTTTTTCTCATTGAAGAATGTGCGAAGGGGTCCAAATGATATCTTTGTTGATAATCAGATAGAAGCGGTAATGAGAAAGCTAGCCCCTGATCCTGACTTTTCTGCCATAATTATCAAAACAATAGGGCTAGAGATAGAAAGGTGATCCTCATGACATAGGCTTGAATTTTACTTACTCTGGTCTCTATAAGCAGGGCTATAGGTATAGGTCACTAGCGATAAGGCTGCCAATAGTTTGAACTTTACCCACATGGATAATGCTTTCCTCCCAATTAACAACAAACTATAAACTTTCAATTAACTAAGACATAGAGGTATTGATATAACATATAAGATTTTTACAACTCAGAAATTTATAGATGTTATCTTGATCTGAGTATTTTTCATAAGATTAATGTCACCAGTCAAAATGATAGCTGTGCCTGCATGTCATTAAATAATAGATTTATTTAAATGCAATATCACATGATTTCATTTAATTGAACATATTAAGTATGGCAACCTAACCTATTGTTCGGGCACCACTGGTGTTAGATAGTATTATTTTTTTCCATCAGTTGTATATTCATGATCAATGATTTATGCAATAATCTAAAATAACTTGAGGAATTTGCTGTTATGACCTCTTTTTTCCAAATGATTTTAAGAAATTTGTTACCCTATACTTGTATAAATGGCAAGTGAAAACTAGACAAAATATTAGAAAAACTATGATTTCCTTCGTGATTGTTATGAACAAAATTATCATGATATTTATAACTGAAAGGATAAACGGTCTCATTTTGTCATCTCCCTTCAAGCACAGTAAAAGTGACTTTGTTAACAGATTTCGATGTTTTGCTGGAAGAGTGAGACATATTCCACCTTCCGTAAACCCAGGATGCTCCGGCACTGGCAAGTCAAAGATTTCACTGCTAAGCATTTGACAAAACTATTGATATGGAGGGTCTATTTACAGGAATTTCTTGAACACACAACAATCCAATATGTATGCATCTCATGAGCTTCTCCAATGAGCTTGGACTCGATATTCTCTGATCAATCAAATCCAGAACATTGTCTTCGTTCCATAATTTCCACGACTAGAAAAGATTAAGAAGAATTAATGGGAATCAGAAAGGAAGATGTTACAATGGAAAACTTTATAAGTAAAAATACGTTCAGTTACATATCCTAAAAGGCTTAAAGATAACATCATAGAAGTTCGTGTTCCTTTTCCCACTTACAATCTCTAATACTAATACGCCAAAACTGAAAACATCAAACTCTTTTGAAAATTTTTGACTTATCGCATATTAGGGAGCCATGTATCGACGGTAATAGGATTTTATCACAAAACATCAATAGTATTGACTATCCACAATCTAAAAATGGATGAAATTAACAAATACATACTATATATTCCTACGACTCTTATAGTGTTGGCTTGATCTTGGTTTCCTTCGAATATTATGGCCATGCCAAAATGTGAAATCTTTGGATTCCACTCATCATCAAGCAATATGTTACTTGCCTTCATATCTTTGTGAATTATTCTCAATCGAGAATCCCTGTGAAGATAGAGGAGTCCTCAGCCAATGCCTTCAACAATGCTGAAACGTTTCCTTCAATCAAGAATGTTATCAGAACGATCTACATAAATAATCTGATCGTGAGTATATCGAGTGGAAATGGGAATAAATTGGAAATGTAACATAAAATTGAGTTGAACTAACCAAAGAGAAAGACATCTGGGCTTCTGTTTTGCATGCACTCATAGACGAGTATCTTTTTGCCTTTCTCTACACAACATCCTCAGTTGTCTAACAAGGCTGCGGTGTTGAAATTTAGAAATGACAACACTTCATTTATAAATTCTTCCAGCCCTTGTCCAGAATCTGTTGAAAGCCTCTGCA